TGGGAATTTTGCCTTTCATTTCAGCCCAGATCAGTGTTTTTTTTTTTTTTTTTTTTTTTCTCAAATGGATGCAATTTCCATATGGATAATCACTGTTACTATTATTCACAATTTCTGTTTTTCTGCTTGGAAGTCTCAGTTAAGGATGAAGCCTTGTTATGGCAGAAATCGCATGGGTCCATTTAGCACTGCAGAGACAGTCATATAGCAAGGATGAGAAATTCGCCAGATGCAGTCAAAACTGGGAGACAGGGAAATATGCTGTGTTTTTTTTTTTTTTGAAAGCAGTTTGCAATCTACAAAGAACTACGAAAAAAAAAAGGAAATTTCTAGCCATCCAATGATGCTGGATTTCAGTAGCGAGACTGAAACCAAATGACTCAGGAAATTTCAAAGTAATGAAAAGCAAGGTATTACCTGAATCTATTGTCTTGTGAATTGTTACCTTCACACTGTAAGATTATATTCTACCTTGTGAGGTTTCTGTTAATTGTGTCACGGCCATTCAATCGCTCATAATGAATAAAGCATATTAATTTGAAAATCCATGTTCATTTGAAAATGCATAAAGCCAAAAAGTATGTTTCTGTTTTTGAAATGCATATTTAATTTGTTGTCTTGATCCCTCCAAGCAATTTCAGTGTGATACTACTGGAATGTCTGGAAGGTGCGTAACAATGTCAAAATGGAAAGCTCAGGAAGAAGAACCAACACATAAATATGGGGAAAAGTATAAGATTTTCTTCAAGATAGTCTTTAGGGATATATTTTTATATATCATTAAAACATTTCTGCAGGTAGAAACTACTTTGGAAAAGGACTAGTAAGATATCAGCTCTTTCTACACCATGCCTGTTAAATACATCTATATATCCACATGTATTAAATACAATGTAGAGGATATGATGGTTTTAATTAAGGTGCTAAGCATAGTTAATTAAGTAAAGAATTAATATTATTTTAATACCTCAAGATCAAAAGATACATCTGTTAAAAATTCCAAGACAGTACACTAATATAAAGTTTTCTTTACAGTCTTATGGCTGTCACCTTCCAGCAAAGCCAGAGTCCTTTGGGAATCAGAAATACTTCATGCTTTTAAAATCCTTTTGAATTCACTACAAAAAGAAATCATAGCACAGCAGCATGCTTAGAAACATCTCAAAACTACTGCTCTTTTTAAAACACTGACAAAATTTGTAATTCATGGTAATAAAACTCACATTCAGTGCACGTTTTTTGGGTCCCTACGGTGACATTATTAAACAAATAAGTAAAACACCTCACAGTTTTATCTGTGCTTGATTACTTGTGTGAGTTTTAGCCAATTACTGCTAAATATAAAAAACAAAATTACAGCCTGTATAAAATGGAAAGATTAGAGGATTTTTTTTTTCTGTTTTCTCCCCCATTCCTCATCTATCCATAGGACAGTACGTTGGATATAGTTCATTTCACCGCTGCCAGAGCAGGTCTGACGGCCAGTTACTCAGATTGCTTCTCTTTCAGGGGGTGTCAGAAATGACACAAGGAAATGAAAGCAGAAAAAATGCATTACAGTTTGAGTCGTGGAAATTGGCAGGAGGATTAGGCAGGCACCATTGCTGAACCCATTTTTGCCTTTTTACAAATATAATTATGTTTTGACTTGATACTGTCACTTCAAAACAAACAAAAGAAGCTAAAATTTCATTGAAGAAAACAGTAATTTCTTAAAAGAGTAGTTTTAAAGTTTATTTAGATGTTGCTTGTTCAGAAATGGAAGGATTCATAGTGGAGAGATAATGTGCTGAATGGTGCATTGTTCATTAGCAGTAAATAGTGGTAAATACAATACCGCTCTCCCAGCTCTTCCATTTATATAGTCGAGTTGGCTGGTCTGCCAGCTCTTCTGTCCAAAAATGCATTAGCAATTCATCAAAAGAGCAAATGCCATTAGAAATGGGAAGCCCAGGGAATTATTTTGCATTTGATTTCCAGTTCTGATAGCACTATTATTGATTTAAATATTCTCCAGCATTACATGCACTAGACACAAAAGATCATTGTATTTTTGAACTGCCAATCACAGGAATCCTGAGTTGCCCAAATACTGATGGCTTTAATAAAATTGAATATATAAATCCTTTAGGTCAGATTTCTAGCTTGTTAACTAATAAGCAGAAGCTTCTTCAACGGAAGCTTCTGGACCAAAGTGTAATTTCTGAAGATTGTAAGAATGCAACCCTAAAACAGCTCTATCAGGGGTACGATATACCAAAAAAGCCAAGTATTCTTTGCTGCAAAAATCCATTTTAGTTAAAAGTAGTGACAGTGAGGAAGAAAAGATTTCCGCGTGTTGCCTGTTTCAAGTAACTAACAGCACATTAAGGTCAGCATCGAAAGGCCATGCACAACCCGAGATCAAACTCGTCGTGTGACCGAGACAAGGCCTCCCCAGGAGCACAAGCTGCTACTGCCTCCATTAAAAAGCTCCATTCTATTAGGAAAAACAGGACAAGACCAACCATGTAGAAAAGAAACACGATCATTTTGTCTTCCAGTGTAAAGTCTTTTAACTGTGTTCCTTAAACATGCAAGGTTGTAGTTTATTTAAAATGCCAAACTAGCTGGCTGCAGCGTTGGGTGTACAACTGGAAGTTATCAGGGTGCTGGGGCTCCCGTGCCATAAGGACGTCTCCAAAAGACATCCTTGTGTCGCAGAGCCCACCTGACATGACCCGTGGTGGATGGTGCCTGTGGTGCACAGCCATAGTGTCTTTGGGGACAGGTGGCTGTGGGTTCAGCAGTTTGGATGCAGAGGAGTTGCTGCTGATGTGAAAGGTCCTAAAGAAGGATTAAGTTGCAAGTGCACAAAATGGACATCCCAGGCTGCTTCAGGAAGCATACAGTGCTGCAGAAAACAAGGACTCATTGCTAGCCTTTGGTACTCCCGAGGAACAAACAAGTAAGTCATTGCCTGAATGGGAAAGAGACTTGGCAGGAGACCGGGCTACAAAACAATTTTGACAGTGGTTAGCAAGATGTCCAGAAGAAAGATGTGGAGTTGTTTCTGCAGCTAGTGAAACACTATATCCTGCCACGGGTGGGACAAACAAGGCTACAGCTTGTGGCAGTGTAAGGCTGTATGGATTTAAATCACCACAGCTGCTGATGGAACCCAGGAAAAGGAAAATAAAAGATCTCACATCTTCATGTGGGTATAGCTGAAAGGGCCAGCTGGACGTTCCCACAAGGCCAAGATAAAATGAGTGTGGATCAGAGCTTGATATAAGAAAGCACAAGTTTAATATTTCATGGTTAATCTGTTCAAAACTAATATTTGATACTGAGTAGAACTGATGGGGAAGGAATTTGATCCCTCTTCTTGTAAATACCAAAACAACAAGCAAACAAAAAGCCAGAGAAGGAGCTATGCTCAGATAAATGCACCCATCCAAAACCAACAGACATGAAATGCTGCTGGAGCCAGACACAGTGACACTTCCAGCTCATGAAGGACTTTGACATCTATTCTCCAGGGACCCTGTTGGAGGGATTTAAGTCATGGCCCCTCCCTGGAGGTTTGTGACCCACAGCAGAGCTGGCAGGCTAGACCGACTGCTCGCTTGAGTGCAAAATTCATCAGCCTAGCTTAGCTGTGGTTTAAGCTAAACCTGGAGACTTTGGGCTGGCTGGAGAAGTCACAGGCAGTAAAGAAATGGGCAATAAGCAGTGAGGAGGGGGGAGGAAGAGACGGCAGTAAAAGAAGTGGTATTTCCAATCACATGGTGAAGGTGTCAAGGTTTTCAAAGACACCTGAAATAGCAGGTTCTGGGGAGCCATAAATCCTCCAGATATGACAGCCAACAGAGAGGACAATCGCAATAAATGAGGAACAGACGACCGCCTCTCCTCCTGTTCCTTCATCAGCTCCACTTTCACTTTATTGAAATGTTTGTGCCGCTTCAGCCCTCCCTGGAAGTAACAGAGCCTGTCTCACTTTAATCAGCAATGAAAAAGGACAGTGGTCCCAGGAGAACAGAAGACAGGACACGTACAGAAATGCAAACTACCGCACGTTTCCCAGTATGTGCTGGTACAGATTTAGACACAGGCGGGTTACAATTCTTTTCTGTTTTCTTTTATTCTCAGTTAGCAAATTACAGTGGAAAAACTTAGTTAATCAGAACTAACTTGTTCCTGGCACACTAGCAATTACATACATAACTGCCTACATGCGATATAGAAATTCAGTGACTCTATACCTAGAAAAACAAATGTACGCGGGCTGGAGAAAGAGTGGGCTGAGGACAGGTACGAATAGTATGGCTTAGTTAACTTCTCTGAATATTAAGCTTCAGAGTATTATTCTGAGATACCTGATTTATTTATGGTTTTGGATTCTTATTGTATAAAGTATACATTTTTTTTTACAAGTTTTAAGTATCTTCTAACTGAGAAAACATCAGAAATCCTACTTCAGATATCCAAGGATGACAATGGATTTGCTATGCTTGATTTACTTCTTGAAGTTTTTTCCCACCTACATCTTTCTCAGGTGCCACCACTTTGCTTCTAGTTTCAAGTTTTAAGAAGGCATTATACTTCTAAAAAGAGATATTCTTCAAATCATATGTAATCTCAACACCAGACTGTTACATCTAAAAAATTATGTCTGAAAATGCCATGCACAAATGTATTTCTCCCAACATAAAAGCACAATACTGATGTAATGCTCAATTTCTAAATAATCTGGTGGAAATTGTATCATAACATGTATTTCTTTTTTTTTCAACTCATTTTTTTTTAGGTTCTCTTCTGTTCTGATTACAGTGGGGCAAGCTTTTCCTTACTATAACCCAGCTTTTGGAAACGAGGTGGTAATTGGATGTGGATGATTGTTCTATTTGACACTCATCACAACTTTACCCAATTAAGGTCAGTGATGGTGATCAGCTGTCAACTAAGAGCTTAAGTTAGCATGTCAAGGTCAGTGTAGGGTTTGCTGAAGGCTGGAATGACGTGTGGACGTTTCTGAGCAAGCTAAGTTACAAATGATTTGAGTAGAAATAGAAGTTTTGTTATTTTTCTCTGGTACTTTTAGCTTTTTTTCTAGAATTTTATTGATATTACTTCATGCATAGCTGGTATGTCTATTTCTGACCTTGCAGTTACTTGTGAAAACTGGTGTGTGTTGGTTTCTGCTGCGTGTGCTGGAGTATATGTTCCTTCTGGGAGTGCTCTTGGTAGGTGGTTATGTGGGAGGCCAGAGGAGAAAGTTGGTAGGAGAGATCCTGATTGTTTCATGCTGTGTTGCTGCTGGAGCTGGTATCAAAGCAGTGCGTTGGTTCTGAATGCCCTTGGTGCAAGTGCTTTGTCTCAGTTACCCAACGGTGTTGGTTCTAAAGATCTCAATGCTGAAGGCTCATCAGGTTGCGTGCTGTGCCCCCTTAGCTTGCCTGGGAAGGCTGCGATGTATTGTGAGATACAGACAAAGAGCAAGCCTACCTCATGGGGCAACATTGCTGAAGTATTTATAATCTGTTGTTTGTATTTTTTTTTTTCCCCAATTTAAAATGTGCTATGCACCATGGAGGAGAAAGAACATCTAACAGCATATGTCTTAAATCTCTTGTTAGTAAATTAATACAAAATCCGTTATTACTTAATCACAAATTATCCCACTCCATACCAGAATGGCAAAAGACTGCACTAGACATCCAATACCCTAGAAGCACCTGGCTGCCATGCTAGCTGTTTTCCAAGATGTTACAAGCACACTTCTTTTCCAGTAATCAGTGTAAAATATCAATTGCTACACTTTCCTGAGAATAACTTTTTCCTAGATAATTTTCCTAGATAAATTGCAGATGTCCATACCATATATTATTTAAAGCTGACTACCTTTCTAACTGATTTCAGTGACTTCTGAGTATCCTTCCATAAACTTTGAGGTGTTTCAGTGGCTACTAAACCATATTAAAATTGTTTTCTATAGTAAGCCCAGATCGCATAAGTTCAATAAAAGTACTACGGAGACTGCACAATGTCCCCCTGTACTTGGCTCTGGTGAGGCCGCACCTTGAGTACTGTGTTCAGTTTTGGGCCCCTCGCTACAAGAAAGGACACTGAGGTGCTTGAGCGGGTCCAGAGAAGGGCGACGAAGCTGGTGAGGGGCCTGGAGAACAAGTCCTACGAGGAGCGGCTGAGGGAGCTGGGCTTGTTCAGCCTGGAGGAAAGGAGGCTCAGGGGCGACCTTATCACTCTCTACAGGTACCTCAAAGGAGGCTGTAGCGAGGTGGGGCTTGGTCTGTTCTCCCACGTGCCTGGTGACAGGATGAGGGGGAATGGGCTAAAGTAGCACCCGGGAGGTTTAGGTTAGATGTTAGGAAGAACTTCTTTACCGAAAGGGTTGTTAGGCATTGGAACAGGCTGCCCAGGGAAGTGGTGGAGTCACCATCCCTGGAAGTCTTTAAAAGACGTTTAGATGTAGAGCTTAGGGATATGGTTTAGTGGAGGACTTGTTAGTGTTAGGTCAGAGGTTGGACTCGATGATCTTGAGGTCTCTTCCAACCTAGAAATTCTGTGATTCTGTGATCGGTACTTCAATTTTGACTGCTTTTTTTTTGGTGAATTGGTCTGGTTTGGTTTCGTTGGTGGGGTTTTCTTTTTGTTAACAAGAGACTCTGACCCTTGGAGATCTGGAGAAAAAACGGGTCGAGGCAGGGTTTCATGGGGCAGCCTTTCTCTCTGGCAAGCCAAACAGCCTGGGGGGGAGCCAGCCCCAGAAAAGGGGGCCCTCAGCCCCCCCAACCCTTGTCCTTGCTCCACGAGGGCATCTTCCGGGCCTCTCCCAAGGCAGCCACCTTCGGCCTCGCACGGGCCGCTCCATCACAGAGCTTTGCCTGAGGTCACAGTGGCCACCAGCGGGCCCGCCCTTGCCCCGGGCCCTATAAAAGGGGCCCCCCTGCCACTGGCCCGCCACTTGCTCAGCGATTTGGTCTTCCGAAAGCCATTGGCTGAAGGAAGGCCAGAGTTAGGAGCAAAGAGAGAGAGAGGCAAGCAGCAGCCCTTCTCAGTGCGGGGACAAGAAATTGTTCCTAGGACCACTGAGGAGGATGTCTGCCTCTGGGAGAATGTGCCATGGGTCGAGGGCCAGCGACTCCAGCACAAGAACCATCAGTGCCCAGGAGGTGTCTGGCTGCCCGGCCCAGAGGCTATTACTGATAAATATCATTGGAGCCGAAGCGATGTGGGGAGCAGACCGGCCCCTTGGATGGACACCAACAGCAGGCCTGGGCCTAGCCGGAGGTCCAGTGAGGACAGCAAAGAGAGAGAGCATGGGTTGGAGGGCCACGGGAAGCGGAGCCGTGCCCAGCGGACGGAATATGATGCAGGACCCAGCCGTGGCCAAGGGAGAGATGACATCAGGAATTCCGTTAATGAAAATCAAGCGGAGAACGGAATGGACCCGAGGCACGGAACTGGGAGGCGTCCTGGTGCGGCACCGTGGCCGGAAAATATGCCCAATGGAAGGCAGCCTGTGTGGGCAGTCCCTGCCAGGGACTGGCTCGTCCTCCAACCCGCGGAGCCAATGGAGGTGGGTGCACAAGATGAAGAGCAACCGATGGAAGTGGACCCACCTCGGTCCACAACAAACATGGGAGTCCCCCTGGCAGCTCTCTGAAAAGTGTCCTCAAGGAACACCGTCAGCTGTGCAGAAGGGCTCGGCAAGCTCCCTATTCCGTCATCGCTCAGGCTCCACTCCAGGCATTAGCCTGGAGCCACGTGGCAATAAAGATCTTTGCCAATTGTCAGGGGTTGTGTGAGTGCTTCTTTCCCATCCGGCAGCCCTTGTGCGAGAGGTGGCAGCCCTTCTGCGCAGAGCCTCGAGGAAGAGCCCAAGAGAGGCCCCAGTTCCCTTCGGGCTGCTGCGCTGGGGTGACAGGTGGAGTCCCCAAGGGCCACCATGCGCCTTTAAAAGTTGTAAAAATAAACCGAGGGGTGAAAACAGTAGTGTGTGAGTGATTATAGCTGGCTAATTTCTTATATTAGGAGTGAGTTTCTATATCAGAGTAATTGGTAATGACAGACGTGGAGAAGGCTGAGGTACTCAGCAACTTCTTTGCCTCTGTCTGCACTGGTAGATGGGCTTCCCACATCTTTCATTTCCCTGAACCCATAGATGGAGGCTGGGGGAGCAGAGTCCCACCCAGTGTAAGTGAAGAGCAGGTTTGAGACCAGCTGATGAATCCAAAGAGGTACAGGTCTATGGGACCGGATGAGAAGAATCCCAGGGTCCTGAGGGAACTGGCTGATGGAGTTGCCAAGCCTCCCTCCATCACAGCAGAAAAGTCCTGATAGTGGGGTGATGTCACTGGGGAGTGGAAAAATGGAAACGTCATGCCCCTGCTCCTCAAGAATTAAAAAATTGAACAAAGAGCACTGCTCTTCAACAGGCAAAGCAATTAGGAGACATTACTTCTCAGAAGAGCAGTCAGGCACTGGGACAGGTTGCCCAGGGAGGAGGTGGTGTCACCGCCCTGGGGGTGTTCAAGGCAAGGTTGGATGTGGTGCTTAGGGACATGGTTTAGTGGGTGACATTGGTGGTAGGGTGATGGTTGGACCAGATGATCTTGAAGGTCTTTTCCAACCTTATTTATTCTATGATTCTATAGTTTCATTTAAAAGTTAGTGGAATTATTTTTTTTTCCTGTTTATTCCCAATTGAAAAGGACTTTCTTTCTTGCTCTGACTGCATGTGGTGTTTTCGTCCATCCCTACGGTGGCAGGGAGGGGTACAGAGAGGACACGGAAAGCCCACCTGTTAAACAGGTGGCTCAGGGGCTGGTGCCAACACAGAAATCTTCGGTTTTTCGACCATGGGGCACTTTACTCGGCACCCGGCCTGATGGCCGCAGACGGGTCCCTATCTTTTAGGGGAAAATGGATCCTGGGCCAGGAGCTGGCAGGGCTCATTGAGAGGGCTTTAAACTAGGTAAGAAGGGGGATGGGGCTGAAGCAAGGATTGTTGGAGCTGTGCCAGGGGGAACAATAGCAAGGACTGGGGGATAAGGCAATGGCCCAGCTGAAGTGCATCTACACCAATGCATGCAGCATGGGTAACAAACAGGAGGAGCTGGAAGCCATCGTGCAGCAGGCAGGCTACAATGTTTAGATGTAGAGCTTAGGGATATGGTTTAGTGGGGACTGTTAGTGTTAGGTCAGAGGTTGGACTCGATGATCTTGAGGTCTCTTCCAACCTAGAGATTCTGTGATATTGAGCAGAAACTTGTGGAGAAGGAGGAGACAGAAAATTAAGATGCAAAAGAATAGGATACAAAGTAACACTGGAAATATTGAGATACCACTCAATCATTGCTGTACCCTCTCTTAAAATATACTTTTGCTTACTTCACCTGAAATAGGACACAGCAGAAATAGAAGAGACTTAAAGTCAGGTGATGGAAATGACTGGATGTCTGGACTGACTTCTACAGGAGGAATTAATGAGTTTGGAAGAAATACAACAGCATAGTATGACTTGCACAAAAGTAGTTAATGAAATGCTCTATTTTTTCTCTTACATAATGAAGTAATACAAATCACTAAAATAAAAGGGTACTATATTTAAGGTCTCTTACCTATGGTACTTACTCTTGTGATATTTAACTGAAAGCCTGAGCATTGCGAAAGAGGTGACAAACTTGTAAAATGTTTGGATGCGTAATGCAAGAGAGCTCCATTTAGGTCAAAGCAGATTCTAGATTTATGTTGCTTGTTGCAGAAAGCAGAATTTAGTACTGAAAAAGTGTAAAATAGCTCTTTAAAACTTGAAAAGAAAAAAAAAGTAACAACTGTTTCAAAAGCCATTTCCAACTCTCAAAAGGTCAAATTCAGCCCCAGAACAGCAGGTACAAAGTACACATGAGCTGAATTTGGTTCTAGAAGTATATGACTTTATCTTTCATCTCCAAGGTTTTTTACTTCACTTTTTTTTTTTTTTAAAGCTTGGACTGAGTTGTTATTCTCAACACAGTCCCATATGCTTTAATGTGACTATCATATTTTATTTGTGCATTTTAGTCAAATGCATTAGTCATGTATCAGGGATGACCTTGCAAGGCATAACTTTGAGAGTAGGAGA